ATCAAACTGGTATATTTTAAAAAGTTTTTAAAAGTTGTGATGTTTTTTTAAATCTTTGTGAACTTATAGAAATTCTGTTGACCCCGATGTGATCTATGATGCTCCTCTGAATCCTCACTCATGTGTCTCTTCTCAGTTCTGTTTTAACTGCAGGAATCCCGGTCACGGGTTGGCAGACTGTCCAGAGGCTGACAGAGATGAGGAGATGGGCCGAGGCATCTGCTTCCGCTGTGGCTCCACTGAACATGAAATCTACAAATGCAAAGCTAAAGTGGACCCTGCTCTGGGTGAATAAACACAGAGACTAACACCTGAACAGCTGTATCAGATTTGCCTGTGACACTGCTGTAACCATGCTGCTTCTCTCAGGTGATTACCCATATGCAAAGTGCTTTATCTGTGGTCAGACTGGACATCTGTCACGATCCTGCCCTGATAATCCCAAAGGACTTTATGCTCAAGGTAAAAAGACAGATATTCATACATTATGTCCTCCATAAGTAATTTCACACTTGCATGAGAGGGGATAGCTGGTTCCATGTTGGCAGTTTACTCAGTCTTTAAGCTACAATGGCAAGAGGTCTTCATCTAACCTTTTAGCTCTCTGAGGTAGTTTTAATCAGAAAGGAGAACATTAGCATTCAAGTGTTTGTGTTTTAAAGCGCCTTGAGGCAACTGTTACTGTGATTTGGTCCTATATAAATAAAATTGACCCAGCATCTTTTTATGCATCTGGTTCCTAAATCCGTAAAGCAGACCCATTGTGCTCATTTCTAGCTTTATATTTGTATTTTTGGAAGCTAGCTTTGCACCATTGAATGTTTAAAATAACCCTTTACGATGACAGAACTGCATCTGCATCTTGTGTTTTGCAGGAGGTTGCTGTCATATTTGTGGCTCAGTGGAACATTTTCAGAAGGACTGTCCAGAGCACCAGACTCCAAGTGAGTACCTTTGGAATTAAACGTTTGCTTTTGGGATTTCAGTGCACCTGAAAAATGATCCATTTTAGATTCATTTGCAAAATCACTCAGAAGTCTTATATTAATTAGAGAACATCTTTGGCTTAGGAAGCTGAAGATGTAAAGGTCTGTTGTAGGTCTATAACAGATGTGTTTCTAGCCTGTGCTGTGGTGGGTAGCTAGAAATAATGGGAAAGGATTTGGGCGGGGCATGGCTGATGTTTCTTATTCTTTCCCTCTTCATATGCTTCCAGATAATCATGTGACAGTGGGCTGGTTGTCCAACAACATGAGTGCAGACCATGAGGAAGTGCACATTCCAGTAAAGAAAGCCAAACCCAAGCAGCCTAAAGTGGTGAAGTTCTAATCACAGAACTGAGCAGTGCTAATGTGTATCCCTCGTTGTACTTCTCTTACCCACCTCAGCTTCTGGACTTCATAAATGGACAGGTTACCCACTAACAGGGAATGAAGTCTTGTATACCACTGTATATGAATGAGATCTTTTTAATAAAAAGTTTTCCACAGCTACTTTTGATATGCTATAGTTAAGAATTCTTGTTGCAGGAAGTAGTCATAAGTGGACACAGACTAAGGCCCCTGCAATTTCCCTCAGCATATGGATTGCCCACTCAAACAGTGGATTGTAAATTAAACAATCAGAATGTGATTGAAGGGA